TGTGTATAAGTTATAGTTTATAATTAAACATTTTTTTATATTGAGTCATAATTAAACTATATTTATACACAAATTACACTAAAATAAGTCAATACAAAACAGGTGGTAGTACCTATAATATTAGTTCGTTGTTCAAGTTTAATACAAGGGGAATGGATACACACCAATATAACTACTATTTTATGTATAATTATTATTCATTTCAGTAACATCAGTTACTAGGTCATTAGTTATTATTATTATTATTTATGATTATTATATATTATGCACTATTACGGTATTATGCTTTTTCGAATTATAATTAACGAAATATTGTAAAAATATAAAATAGTACAATTGTATGGCACTTGCATGAACTTTAATTTCCATATGGGCTTTTTTTCAGTGGACTTTTTTCCCTACCGAGTATAGGTTAGGTAGCTATTCTTTTAAAAGAACCCTTAGGTAGCATATGATGTTGCTTCGATCGTAATGAAAAACAAAATAATATTAGTTCTGCGTGACTGTGTGTAGATTTGACTTCTATTTTTTACTTACTCACTATTATATGCCGTTGTCTAGTGTACTTGGTTGAAGTGACAATAAGGAGACTCATCGATTTCCCAATCTCGAATAATCGGAAGAGCGTTCTAAGTAAATGACCAATTTTGTAATCGCAAGAATTTTTCTATAACCATTAACCAATAACCCTTCAGTAAAACTTAACTTGTCCAAATGTTCACTGTGTTAAGTATAATTCAATAATTGATTTTTCAGTAATAATTATTAATCTTTCAACCGTATCGTATTATTTTATTTATGTATTATTTCCGATCGCATTGGAATTGTAATATAATAATCCTTACGTTATAATTAATATTTGAATTTACTAAATATGTGCTTATTTTATAGCAAACAAAATATGGTACAATTAATAATGATGAAGGCTAGATTTGTTTAATTGGGAATTCATTGTAATAATTAGAGTTAGGATGTTTGATGACTTTTGCATTTTTTTTCCTTTTATTCTGTACAATGCTATCCTAACTAAAAATTTGTTTCATGCTCCCTTGATGCAGAATATTCTAATTTGATTTTGCATTTTTTTGCATTTTTTGCATTTTCAGCTATAAATGCATTTTTTTTGTTTTTTGACGTCATTTTTTCATCTTTTAGGGCATTTTTCACAAATTATAGATTTTAGGGCAAATTTTACACCCAAGTTTGGAAACAAATTTAATTTATTTAAAATCTAACTTTGGATTTGGACTATTAGTAAAAAATAATTTTAATATTATTATTGTGGGGTTTTTGTTGTGATTACATTTATCGCGTTCCGATAAGATTTACTCTTTGAGTGTTATATATTGAATTATTTAAATGCTTAATATATTTATAATTCATATTTTAAATTATTATTACACCCATTATTATACCCATATCTCTAATAAATTTATTATTTATAAATAAGTTTTTTCACTTACTTAATTAGTATTTTAGAAAATTGTTAAGATCATTTTTTGAGTTTTTAGAGCATTTTTGCACTTTTTTTAGTGTTTTTTTGCATTTTTGTAAGGCATTTTTGTGTGTGTTTTAGGTCATCAACATCCTAACTCTAGTGATAATGTATTACTTTTATAGGGGTACATATTTATCTCTATATATAAAGGAAAGTTCTTATTAGAACTACTTTATTAATTAAAATAATCAACGCAGAGCCGAACATATTTGAGTTATGGAATTTAAATTTTGAGGGTAAATTAATATTATAATGTCCAGTTCCACTAAGAAAGGATTTTTCAAAATTTTAATTTTAAAGTATTGAAATCGACAAAAATAAATTGTTTACGTATAAATTGTATATCTATATACATATTTTACAGCACTTCAACCTGTGTGGCTGTGTGTTTCTATAGCGACATGCAACCCTAACTTTTTGTCCGTCTAACTATGTGTTTGATCAGCGTGTAGATATGAATTGTTTCGAGAAGTAAAATTCTACTATCTATCTACAACTATCTATGACTTATGTATATAAAAATAAATCCTTATTTCCGCTTATCATTTAAAACAGATCTATCTATGCCATAAAAAAGTCAATTTATAATTTCTTAGAGCTCATTTCACAGTCGAATCAATCGGAAAATTAATGAAAAATTGTGTAAGGCGTTTGTTCATCTCGGTTAGTTTACGCAATCACGCTAAAAATTTTAAACACACTGAAGTCGCAGAACTCGCAATGCTATTAGTCAAAGATATAGAAGAGCAAGTCAAACACATAATTTGACCGACAAAAAGGTCAGGTTGCAGGTAACTGGAAACCCGCGGGCCATACAATATGCGTATTATATGTATACGATTTGCTAGTTTATTTTATTTAATAACTAATTTTTCGCTCAACTTTCTGGTTGGGTATAACTTCTTGGTTGATCTGGCAGATCAGGTTTAAGCAGGCATCAAACAGAATTTTAGTACATAGCCTATCGGTTACCAAGGTGGCTGTCGGCTGATTTACAATTATAGCCGCTCATTGGTATGTACACAATGAAAATAATTAATAAAATTAAAATTAAACATATTATTCATATAGAGTATCCACCTAGCGGGGCCCGCAATACACCGCAGTTGGATTGATTACATGATAATATATTGCTCACATTATCACAAATGAGTCTCATGTAGAGTTGGCATTTTTAAAGGGCAACAAAGTGCAAGGGATCAGCTAGAAAATATATAATAATGATACAATATATCTTTGTTTCGAGACGACACTATGACAGTTAATATTATGTCTACTGAGGATCGCACGTAGCAACGGCTGCGACCGGTATAATTGTGACGTAGGAATACTTGTACGTAGAAATACTTGCCGAAATTATAAACTACAAACTAACAAACATTTTTATTAAGTTAAGAGTTATATGGAAAACACCGAATAGCTCAATTATACAAATTGAGTTATCGAAAAATAATAATACTTTTCTTATCGATGTGCTATAAACGTGTTTATTCAAATTATAAACTATAAGTCTATAACTATAGAATCATTTTTTAATTACAATATGTGTATTGTGTATAGAATCATTAGAATCATTTATAAATATTATTATTATTATTTTTGTTCCATTTATAATTTAGCTACTAATACTATTTAGCGCTTGATAGCACGAAGTAAAAAAAGTTTTTCTTCTTTAAAACACAATAATGTGTGTTCATTTAAGAATTTAATTTTGAAAAAGCAAAAACTACACACGGGTGAAGCCGGCTAATTCAGCTAATGAGACAAAAAAATTATTATTATTTTATAATTTGTGCTCTGATATTTCTTAAAAATTAAATTTACTACTCAATAGTCATGCTAATAATTTGTAATTAACTCATGATCTTCTATATTCTGTATATAATATATTATTATGTATGTTTTTATTTACATTAACAAATTACTGAACACTGAATAATATATTATTCATACATATACATATATTCTTATATATTCCCATTTATTATTTTGATACATTAATGGGAAATGTGATTTTGTATTAAATTTGTGTGAATAATAATGTTTTTGTAATTTTGTTAATATATATATATATATTCAGTTACTTTTATCTGATATGTCTTTGAGGAAACAAATTTTCAACAAGAAAAGGTACTGGTAATTGGTAAATATAGCCAGAATAATTGTTTAAAAAAATTAGAGGATTTTGAATATCTAGAAATTATAATAAAACATCAATACCATACATAAATATTAGTTTTACAATAAAAATGTTTGGAAAAAAGGAAAAAAATTAAATTTACCTTGGTTATAAGTTATAACTTCGGAATTGGTTAGCCCCCTTGGTGGTCCGGACGCCTTTTACACCCCTCTCGTAAATACGCAATTGGTCATTACGGTGTTGGGGAGGTTAGGACTCAAGAGGGTACCTACGTACCTACAAATTGCGAGCACAAAATAATGTATATATCACGTATATATAGATATATAATATATAATATATAGTAGGTGCTATGTATAGTGTATGAACATCACAACTTAAATTTACTAAATAAATTACTTATTTTCTAATATTGTCGTATATTAATATTGTTTTGCGTTTTTAGAATATAATATGTCATATTATGAGAGTAATTTAAAAAAAAAAATATTTGTAAGTAATAATATTGTTATACCTAACTTAACCTAATCTAACATTTGTTAATTACTTAAAATTCAACGTTTTAACTAAATCAAAATTTTCTATTTCTTTAAGCTCGTGCTTTGACATCAGTTCTCTAATGAAAGCTTCTTTTACACACATTTTTTCGTTTTTACACTTTAACTTCCGAATTTTATACATGCTCCTCATACGTATCGAACATTTCGTTTATAGCGTTATTCGTTAGTATACACAACACCACAACTGCCAGGATCATAGGTAATGGGTACATAGGTAATGATAATTACCAGGGCCGCAAATCACCTGCTTCTAAAATATTACCGGGCCGGAATTCGCCGGTCTCTAACACCGGAAACGACACGTCGGGCCACTACTCACTCGCAGGCGGTCAGTAACACCATAGGAGGTCCGAGCCTTCTTAAGGTAGGGTTGGGCCCACCCTGGACAACCCATAACGCCGCCGCCGCAACTGGTTCTGAGAACACAACAATTTGCATTTTTAGTGCTCGGGTCGCACAATGCTTTGAATTAAATTCCGCCAGATAACGACCACTTGGCCTGTGGACACAATACGTTTATTAAGTATAGGGAGAGGCGAAGAGCCCATCCATTTATTCAATTTCTGTGATCTATGCTCATGGTTTTAACTTTATCACGATTATTGAATAAAATACGGATCCAATTTTTTTGTCACAGATAAATGGCCAAACTGTTTTCATGTGAATTAAGACTACTATCGAACTCTGGTGTCGTGCCTGACCGATTCAAACCACGCTACCTATATAAAGTGAGAATCGGTGGCCTGTTCTCACTTCTCTCATATACTCTCAAACGACTACATGTTTACGAATCGCACACAACCATGTGTTTTTTTTTCATTCTGTAATTGTTTCTGTTATATTAACCTCTTAATATACATCTACTTAGTATTTTAACGATAATTTTCATTTAATATCACTAATTTTAAAAAACCTCAGTTACTTACTATAATATAATATTATAAAGTATCTAAGATTGATTTACTAGCACCATCTGAAACCACTTCAGTGTCACGTCAAAACTGATCTACTGCTCAACCGTGTGTACGTGTCGATAAGTTCCGGTAAGTGAAAATATTTACCATAATATGTACTACTTATGTAGAATCCACATAGTGCATTGAGTATGAAAAAAATATATAAATATAAATTCCCCGGGTCGTTTATTCAACTTTTTAAAATTTTTATAATGTTATTATTACTTTTATAATTTAAGAAATATTAATAAGAAAATATTATTGTGTAATTCAAACATATATTTATTAAATGGCAAATAAGACGAGGGTCTTAAAAATCGTTCAAATTCATTAAAAATAAGCTTCGTTCGCGTTCACGTTCGATTTAATAAAAACGAGTGACGTTCACGTATCGTTCACTAAATATGAACTTAAACGTGTGAAAGTGCGTTCATGAACGAAGTTCTTTTCAAACACTGGGAAAACCCCGGCATGACATAACAGCTATACATCCAGATGCTGGTTGAAATAGCTCAGCTAAATAGCTGAGCTTATAGTATTTTACCCGATAAATAAGTCAGTAGCCTGTATGCAAGCAGAAAAATATTTCGGCCAACAATATTTTAGCTGATATCTAAAATACGTTTCTGTCAAATTGTTTGGTTGATGAAATACTGTCGCTTAAATTATTTATCGGTTAAGATATATCGTAGGCTGAAATAATACCGTCTAAAATATTGCCGGCCAAAATAGTTTTCTGCTAAAATACTCTTTGGCGTGTGTCTCCACTGTTTATCTATCCACGGATGCAGTGTCTTAAGTGGTGCATGTAAACTTCACCACGAGTAGATTTTTTAGCATAAACTTCGCCAGTGAAAAAAATTAGGTAGGTAATACCGAGTTCATGTAAACTTTGTCAGTGAAGAAAATCAAGTAATTAGTACAATATATTATTATAAAAAAAATAAGAGATTATAATTTTTATAAAAATAATTAATAAATAAAAATAGTTCACATAAAATAATAGTTAAGCGTGACATGTAAGAGTTAAAAATAAAAATAATAATGGTTCAAAAAAATCATACAAATTGTAATGTATAAGAGTATTATTATGATAAATAATTTTAATAATAAAATATGTACCTCGGTAGTCGGTATGTTGTGTTATCATTTTTTGAACCGTGAACTTAAATGTTGTGATACAATTCGTAGATCTTCTAATTTCTTAGTTTAATATATAAATCCATAATTATTTGTAGAATTCTCTAACTCTATTTTTTTTCATTTTAAATCGTTGAGCGTATTTAATTGAGATATATTATCGAGTTTTAAATAAGCAAGCAATAGGTAAGAAAATAAAACTGGTGGAGTTTACATAAGGCCTTTTTATCTAACCGGTATTCTGATGGAGTTAACAATCGCGCATCTCAACGAGGATGAAAAAGTAGCGGAGGCACACTTGGTGTATAGTCCGAGTATAGATAGGATACCTAGATTGCAATATCGGATATTCGACCAGTCCACTGCGACCAGCTGCCCACCAATAACATAAGCTCCATAACCATGGATAATAAAATAATAAATTATTATTATAGGTTGGTATAACATGCCGATATAAACTACATTCCTACATAATATCCTAAATTATTTACATATTTTCTTAAATAATTTTATTACCTTGAAAATTAATTGGGAATACACGAGCATCAGATTTTAAATTAAATGTCTACACGAATTCTGTAGGTAAATGTATTATTCTTATTACAGCATCTCGGTGCATGCTGTAATCCATATATATATATATGCAATTATCTTTAGTTCATACACAAGATTTATTTATTTTTGGCAAAAGTGGAATTGGTTCCTGAATAAAACTACTTATCAGTTTATCAGTACACAGCTCACTGTTACAAGATACTCACAAGTTACAATCGATAATCTTATAAATTTATAATATTTTATTACGTTTTACGATGTCTAGAAAAGTTTATAAATATAATTTTATATTGAATAGATTGATCATTATTATCTATTAATAAGAACAGTACTACTTATATACAAGAATTTCAATTTATAAAACATCATATTTTTTTCACCACTTTTTAGTTTTTACCATACCTAGGTATTCGAGATAAGTGTTTGAACTATTCGAACTTATTTGAATTTTAGACAGTCCTAAGTGTGAATAAATGGGAAGGAAATTGTTGTTGGTTGAATATATCATAATAATTTGAAAAGTTAATTTAACAAGGTTGTATTATCATGAGAGCTTGTGGGAACCAATTCGTATGTTACCTGTAGACAACCTGGAAACCAATTCGCAGTCGTCCGTTTTTTTATGCTCTGCAGTGCTTGTACCAATAAGTTAATTTCGTCTTCCAACGAACTGTGGAGAAATTCAGAATTTTTATACAAAAATTATAATTAACATAACAATTATTGTCCTTATTTGAGATTTAAATTTGAAAATATTGATAAGATTGTCTTAAAGTTTGGGCATGAAATCACTTTTAAATATCGTTAAAAATCTTCTAAAAAATCATAATTCTTTTATTATATTCAAAATTTACATTGAAATCGAAAAAATTGAAATCAATAATTTATTTGTAACAAAATAATAAATAATTATCTGTTATAATGTTTGTACACAAATCAATTTCAAATTATAACAAGAATCAACTAAAATTTAAAATTCAACAATACATTCAACATGTTTTTAATATTGCTCATCAGAAGGTAATAGCTAGGTTATTACTGGTACGTTTTTTAGCCTCGCGAACGACGTTTGTGGAACGCGCGAACGCTCGAAAGACGAAATGTCTTCTAGTAGAAATGTAAAAATTGAATTTTAAACTATTTAAGTGTAAGTAGTATATTAAATCGAAAAAAAATTATGCTTACTAATAACCATTAGCAAAATTGAAATAAAAATCCAAAATTTTATTTCAATTACAAGCTCTTATCTTTCTTATACCAACCAACTACATTAACAGAAAATTTAAGAGTCCTACTTGAAACTCGCTTCAACAACGGAAAACAAAAAATTAAATAATTATATAATAAAAAGTAATCTTAACCCTTATTAACGTGTATTTATATCAAATTTAACATTATAGAATCAATCAACATGTCGAACTTACCATCACCAATAGCAACCGACGACTCCGCCCTAGAATTAGTAAGGATTTTCGAGAGGTGTACTGAAATCCTGCAGTCTACAGGATTAGACGACCAGTTTGCAGCCACGCTGAGGCCGCGTCCAGTGTCTGATTTAGCAGAAGACCCGATTATATTGGCCATGTACAATCGGGGTTGGGATGACTGGACTGCAGGCATCAACTTAGTCCACAGCTCCACAAAAGGCATCCGAACACGATCACTATCCGAACTCGAATATATGGAATTACTTGATCTTCACTTGAGGACTCGTATTCTATTGGAGAGAGAAGGTGGTTTGTCAAACGTTTTTGAACGTGTTTGGGCAATAGTGGGCTTGTTTTCAATGGACAAAATACGAAATTCCCCGATACTATGGGCGGCATATACACGTGGTTGGGATGACCATAGAAATGAAAGTGACCTTGATTTTAATTGATCGGATTCTCTATTCACAGAGCCAGCGACATGTCAGATACATCACTTGGCCATATCGAACTAAATAATTTAAAACATTTTATAATGATCATAATAATGTATTATATTCTAATTTTGTAAACATATATTATGAAGTACTTATTATATTTAAACATTCTTAAAATAAAACATACTAGAACTAAAATAGATATTTTTTTTTTATCTATGATTAACATTGTAATTTAACGTACCAATACGATTGAAAATTACATTTTTAGTTTTTATAATTAAAGTCATGTGTAATATATTAATAATGTAAGTACCTTATAATATTAATAGATTATAAGACGAATATTTCTAGTACAAGAGTATTTGAGTGCTATGAATCCAACGCAATAAAATTATTTCTATAAAGAAATTAACATAATTTTAGTCTTAGATCATAAAATTCATAATTCACGTATAGACACCATACAATAATTAATATCAAATGACCTACATTCATATATAACATCATAATAATAATTGCATCTCGATTAAAAATTATTTTGTAACACATACAAAAATCATAGTACTCGCCTATTTTGATACTTACCAGGTCTTGTGCTACATAGACTTGTTGCTCTTACTTCTTTTACTGTTAGAAGAACCTGAAAATATAAGTAAATTATTTTTAATTCGTTACTAATACTGATGCCTGTTGAAAAAGGCATGAATATCTTTGTCGAAAATTAAAAAAAAACACTTACCAGGCGATAAAACCATCAAAGATTATATAGATACTTAGAATTTAGATCATTTGGCGTTATTTATCTGGATAAGATAAAATATTTATTTATTTATTAGTGACACGTGCCTCCCCACCATTTCTTTTATACTACAGCCAACGGTCACACACACACACACACACTATGATATTATTATTGTTTTTAAATAATTTAATCGTCACAAATGAGTAAATGACGCAAACGACATACATATTCACGATAATATGACACGCACGCACGTTTAAAAAATTGACTATATTTAACTCCTTGAAACTACTTAAAACTATACCTCGACGGACGGATCGGACGGTATTTCGTTATCCAATACTTGCATACTATAGGCAATCGTAATGCATAAAATAAATTATTTAATCTTAAGTCCAAATTAATTAATCCGTCTAGTATTAATATTATTAATCTATACATTTTATAATAAAATTTAATGTTGAAAGAGACTTGTATGATGAGTGATGACGACTAAACCATATTCTTAACTAGGATTATTTCATATTCTTACATTTTTTTAAAAAATTTTATCATTCTTATCACCACAATCACCCGGGGATCTATATAAATTAAATTTTGATTCATATATACATCTACAACTAGATATAAACATGTAATATAAATATATAATATGGGATCCCTTTCAAGAATTATCTGCGTCGTTACAATAATATTATATATTCATAATAAACAAAACTATTTTGGTATCGTCAATATCAGCTGGATTTTATTCTTGTTCAAAGTTTTAATAGATAGCAATATCTTTTGAATTTCCTCAGACTTCAACTTTTGCAGTTTGTTATACGATATGTAGATATAAGTACTTTTTTCTATATTGTATTACAACTGACAATTCCGTTGTATTCTGTTTAATGTAGTACAAAAGAATGGTACAAGAATGTCCGAAAAATTTTTTAATAAAATATCATTCTTACCAAGACTCAGTTTTTATAAACTATGAGCTCTTGGTACAATGTTATATTAGTGCTGTACAAAAGTATAGGAAATAAAAAACTGTAAAAAAAATTTTTAAAATAAATTGTGTGTGAAAGTAAAAAAATTAATGTTTCAATTATTAATGCTAATAAAAATGGTATCATTAATGATTTTATACATACATATTATGTATTATACCAGAGGTTCCCAAACTTTTTATTGTACGACCCATTTTGAAAATTTTTGAAAATATGGTGACCCACAATATGAATGAGTGACCTTTTTTTTTTTTACTATACAACAGAAAATTAAACTATTTTATTAAATTTTATGTAATTACGAAAAAAAAGTATAATTAGTATAATATATAGTATTTGACACGGCCGCTGGTAAACTCGTAATTGTCATACTCACAGATAAGGATTGACGATAAAACTGAATTTGAACTTTGAACATCAACGAAAAGTAATAGATGATTATATTTTTGTATTATTTAAAAAAATAGTGCGACCCACCAAAAGTATAATCGTGACCCACAGTTTGGGAACCTCTGTATTATATATTTATTTTAATTAATAAATATTGTTACGGTACAATACTATATTATATTAATATAATTTACTTTAGATTTACTTCTCCAATTCAAGTACTTAAAGCCATTTTTAGTTTCCTTAATTACATAAGTTAATGTTGCATGATATTATATTTTTATATATAAAAAAAAATTTTAAAAAGAGGCGATCTTTCGATCTGTTGTATCTTCTTTATTACTCTTACTATTCCTCAATTGTTCTTATTGTTCTTTGTGTAACAGATTGAATAAAACATTTAAACATTTAATATACAAAAATAAAAAGGAGGTAACAGCTCTGTAACTGTAAATGTCTGTAAATGTATGTATTGTCTTTCGATTTTTTGTTTTTACCGATCATTTTTAAAAGTACATTTTGACCTCCCAAAAGTCTGGACTCATTTTTTCACAGTTGGACTAAAAGTCCAAAAATACAAAATATTAAATTTTCATTTATAATTACACTAATAATTATAATAATATAATATATTACATAGGTATATATAATTAATATTTAAAAGTAAAGTAGTTATATAATAAATATTAATTTGTATAAAATAAAAGTAAGTTAAAAAAATACATAAGAAAAAATATAGGTAAACCTTTTGAATTTTATAGAAATATTATAATATTATAATTATTTTTTTTTTTTTTAATTTTTTTTTAAATTGCGTAGGTCATTGTTCAAGAAAACGTAACTCATTTTAAATTATTATTATTAGTACCGTATGCTGTAGTGATCGTTGTTTGTATTGACTCTTTTTAAAAAATTGTTTATATTATTTGTAAAAGCTAAAACTTATTTTTATATTGACCATTATTTTAAATTTTTGGATGGAACTATAATATTTGTAAATTGTAAGTTAATAGGTATAACTGTACAAGCCTACAAGGAATAGTATTCAAATATAAAATAATAATAAGAATACTTTACAAGAAAATTATTGCATAAAATGTAATTTTTAATATGACAGCTTAAAACTTTAGAATGTGACTAGTAAAAATTAAATGATGTGTAATTTTTAATTTTTACTTAACATTATTTAAACTTATATTTAAAAATCTAAGATAATAATTTAAAAATTATCAATATAGTTATACTCTGCAATGTTTATTATATATTTGTTGTTAATTGTTTGTATAAGATCTTAGGCATTGTACCTATACATCATTACAGTTTCCAATAGCTGTACCTAGTCAAGTTATAATCGTTGTGGGCTTGTGGCTGACCGCTGACGTCTGTTGTGCTGGTCTGTGAGTAGTATATAATTATGGCAGGACTGTTCTGTGTTCATATACGGTATACAGGTCATGATTTTTTCAAATATTGTATATGTTTTTAGATTTTAATTTAGCTTAAGCTCTTTGCAACTCTGCTCTTCGTCGAGGATACTGTGAAAGGTTACCGGCTACTTATACTTAAAATTAATGGCTTTTACTATTATTATACAAAAATATAGTGTATGTATTTATTCATTATTATCCATACCAATATAAGCATAATTTAAATTCAATTTTAGTAACAACAACATTAAAAAATCGCCGGGTGCTATGTTTTCAATTACCAGGAACAGAAAGTAACTATTTTTCTTTCTTTTTTTCTTTTTTTAACATTTTTTTTTCCATAACCTATACCCTCGCAATCCTATAAATTATTGTATATTACACAATTTATAATTATTTTTTTACTGGAGATTTTGTATTTTGGTACCAAGAATTCAAGACCGATACTTCAATATTTTTTTGAAATACACTAGGTATTTTCATTAATTTAAAATGAAAAATAGAACTTTGCATAACAAATTAGGCGATGGACGGTAGTTGTGCATGTTGAATGTTAATTCGTGTTGGAAAAATGTAGTTGCCAATTAGTATCTACGCTCCAATATCGAAAAATCCTTTGTGTCTGACCATACAACAAAATTAAACTATTTTCCTGTCTAAACATGACGTAGAGTTTAATCAAATTTAGCTTATTTAAGTTCTTAGACTTACTCGTGAGCTAGATAAAATTGATATGGTGGCCGGGTTGCCGACCCCAGACTTACATCATATATTATATTATTTTAAAAACATATATTTTATTCAATTTGAAGTATTAACTGAATTGGCTTTTGTCAACAATTTAATCATTTATAATTTCTTATCAGCCTACACTCGTCAGTCATATTTATTATTTTTAAATGGATGTATAAAACTGTGGACTAAATATGTTTATGTTATATTAAGATTCAAATAATCACGTACGAATGAAACGTTTTAATAAGCTGCATATAATAATCATTTAATGTGTATATAGTAAGTAGTAACTAATAATAGACAAATGTATAATTTCATCGAAAATCTCAACAATTTTATCCTCGACATTTGATGATGATTCGTGAGGTTGAAAAAATAACGATATTCTAAATTACTGACTTCTGTTAGATTTGATTGTATCCAAAGACATGTAGGTACTCGAAAAAAGGAATGTAAAGTCGATGGAACGTTGCTCGATGTAGAATAAAAAATGTGAATTACTGTTGGGTAGTAGTTGCTGACGGCGAATCGTTGTTGTTTGGGTCCAGCTGATAATGTGTAGGTAGTAGAAATGGGGTAGGAAATCGCTGGTAAAAGTTGCTTGGCCATCGCTGGAAAGCGATATTGGATAAGTATGGTCCAATCATCTGTTGCTGACCATACATAAATACATGTTGGCGAGATGATGGTGGTCGAAAAAAAATGGTCCTCTGTTGTAATTGCTGTTGCAGGTGTTGGTGTCGTTGTTGGTGTTGGAGTTGCTGCTGGTATTGGTGTTGTTGTCGTTGTTGTTGATATAATTTGTGAAGGTGTTGTTGTTGTTGTTGTTGGTACAGTTGATGTGTTTGTTGGTGTTGTCTCTGTTGATGTGTTTGTTGTAGTTTCCAATATCCATTCAAAAAATCATAATCATGAGTCGAGAAATCTAAATATGATTATAGAAACAACTTTTTTTACATCGTTTAATAGTTAATATTATTTTATTAGGTGTTTAATAAGATACAGTTCTGCGTATAATTTATATAATAATAAAAGAAATAATTTTAATTTACGATACCTAAATTATTTTAATTTTGTTGAAAAATGTATAGATGTATAAATATAAAATGCATTCTCTATATATCCATCTATAGGGGCATCATTCGATTGCGTCCCGTTTCCACCTTGTATACCCTTCCGGTGTTTCAAAATCCACTAGTCAAATAGTTAATCATTTTTTTCTACTTTTTTATGTTCCGTCCTATTGTATAATGATATAATATAAGCATTCAATTACACAATGTTAATAAGATCTTCTTATCGACTATTGAATACATTCATAGTAATTTTAAGTTTTTATTTATTTGAATGACAAAATAGATTTTTATTTTACGAGCATATTCTGTAGCAGAATATATAACATATTATTCAGAGTATTTTGTTGTACAAAACTCAAATTCATAATTATTTTGTCAGTGATATTCAAAAAATTATACAAAAACAAGTATAAAACAGTCCGAATATTATATATTATTAAATAATTTAAAAAATATACTTCTGGCTAGTCAGTGTTATAAAATGATAATAATACAAAAACATATAAAAATCAGTTCAAATAATAGGATTAAAGTTATTAGGTATATATTATAAGTATAAAAATATATATTAAAAATTATTAATATCATTCACCAATTCGTGTTTAAATAAATCTATTCATAAGGTGTATTTAATGCTTACCTACTATACAAGAGGACGCAATCGGAACAGAAAAAGTTGGGAAAAAAATCGTTTACCTGAGTCTGGGACGCAATCGACTGTCTCCGCCATCTCGCACAAAATAAATGAGCACATAAATATTCAATTACTCGGAGGTAAGATAATTTCTCTCAAGTCTTAACTATAGAATTACTTGATTGTGGCGTCTTATTCGATTTTGGAGGAGTGCAGGTGTTAAATTGCTTATTACGTGATCTCATCCACGGTGCAAGTTCATCGTCAGTTCCTTAACAGACACAATTTGATGAGATCATTTATAGTTGGTTTCTATGTTTCTATATAAGTTTATGGAAATACCTTTTAGTATTAATGGTTCATTTAAGCTAACGTAAGGCCAATCTTCAAGTATGAAATTAGTTTTTTTTAACGGCTGAGATGCATTCGTAACATGGTGGTCTAAAATTTTCTGTGGTTCTTAGAAAAATTATCAAATAAATAAGTCAATTATACAGGTACTACTTGTTGTAAAAAAATATTTATAGCTTACTGGAATTATGCAACACTAACTTAGTTTGCCTGTTAAATATGGTTTTGCTTAAGTCTAAATTCAAAGATATATTTTTTCCACCTAACCAATGGTGTTTTTCTGCATACTCAATAAAATTTTCAACATCATTGGCATCCCTATGAAAAACTTTTATTTCACAACAAGTTATAGGTAATAATTCATCTTTAGTTTAAGAAGACATTTTTATTTACATTTTGCATAGAATATAAATCAGTAATTTGCATTTAAGAAATTATATACGCTTATAAAATGTATAGAAATCAGCATAAATATTGGTTTAGCATTTTTTAATGACAATTATTAATTATTATGCCAATCGACTGTCTTGATATTATAATAATATTATCATCATCGTCATACTCACGCGCCCGCGATGCACCTGAGAAACATATACTCGGTATCAGGTAACATCCACGTCTCCATGTCGGAGCACCGGAGATGGGTTTGTTGCCGGTCGTCGGGCGTCAGATTCACTTCGTACACGTCATCGCCATCGTAAACCACAGGATCTGAGACGAAGAAATCGCCGGCGACGACCGCTAACCGACTCTCCGGTATTAGGTCCTTGACGGACACCTGTCGCTTTTCACTACAGCCACTTCCGTCATCGGACATGGCAGTACCAATACGCCGATGTTAGGTGTACAGCGTATTTTATATTCTTAAGTCTTGGGTGATAATAATATAAAAACTCGATGACGAGCAGCGCACATAAACTGACAAACTACGTAATCACTTACCGGGAAGGTGGTAGGTGTACAGCTATAATACCACGACTGATCGACACGGAAATAATATTATAATTATATCTGTCGTTACCGGAGCAGGAATGTTATGTGCAGTAAATATTTATGAATGTTATAATAACATTGTAATAATGTAGTGTGTTGGTATGATACTAGTTTAATATGATATTGACGACTATTTTAATAAACGGTAGGTATCCAAAGAGTTTTGAAATTCCGTCGAAATCGAAATTGAAGTTTATATATATATTTATTATATAGGTATCAGATAAATTGAAATTCTAAAAATCAGATTTTAATTAGGACGGTTAAGTGGGTTTAGGGAGACATTTTTAAACTCTAATATCTAAAATTTGAAAAACAGTCATCAAATAATATCCATATATATTATTAATAAAAATGAATAAATCGATAATTAATTACCAATATATTTTTAAAATGCAGAAATAAATCAATCTCTATTTAAATTTTAACTCTCAGTAAATTACTTTTAGAATGACAAAAACTACCCAAAACATTTTCTTAAAAATGTTATTCTAGACTGCAGGTAGATCGCTGTAAATCTAAGTATTTTCCGTAACTTCTTAGAAAGTCCGTGTGGAAGTAAGTTGGTTATTTTATTATTGAAATTGTTATGGTACAAACTATTATTAACAACAATAGTAATAGTAGTCATAACTGTCAAAAATGCTTAATTCGGTTTGCATCGTCTCGTATTTTATTTTATATTTTATCTTGTCGATGATGTCTTTTATTGTACTTTCGATGCCGTCAGAGGTTTCGATGTTATGTGATGCAGCCATATTATTGCAAGTTTTAGGTGTGGGCATGAGTAGTTGGAAAAATAAATTGCAAGTGAGCCGATTTCGAATTTCGTCCTAAATCGTCGCCGATTATTTAAAACAAAACATTGCTTACTACTAGCCAGCGAGTACGGCACCATCATGTTATTAATCGGATAGCATTAGCTGACTTTCGGAAAATCTCGGTTCACGATTAACTTATTCCGTTCATGCTTAACACCTCGGACATTAATTAATATTAATCATTCAAAATTAACAAAAATTCGAATCATACTCACGGTAATTTTTGTTAGTTGTTACAGCATGTAAGTATTTTTGTAACAAAAAAGTAATCAAGTAAGTAATTTCACGTGGTTATATTTATTTATTTTTTGGTGACGGGTAGAAGAGTAGATGGGAAGTAAAGAGCGGAAATATCTTAAAATTTGCCCCAAGGCACTATATTCGTTAACTGCACAGCACGTCGGCACTGTTGGCACTAGTAAGCACCGTAAAAGTAAAACAAATAAATAATTCACATCTAGTATTGTTTAAAAGAAAAAACAATATTTTATATACGATAAACATAATTCATGGAGGTAGAATGTATAATACGTAGGTAGGTGTATAATAAGTACATAATATCAGTGCTTGAATTGGAGACAAAATATAAAGGAGATTTAAAAATATAAAAAATAATTTGCGTAGGTTTCTGAATATTTAAAATTTAAATATCTTATTAATAATTAGCAATAATTAGATGGGACTCTCCCCCCTTGAGCCCTCCAATTCAACCACTGTAACATTATATAAAAGGTATTTATGATAATTATTGTAATCTTTGATGATGTATAGACGAAAAACACGAATATAGGACTTAAATTTTTATTCGTTCAGACGTGATGATTGTTGGATATTGCAAATCTACCTATATGAAATATTAAATAATGTCTGTTTATTTACACACGTATATCATGTGCCATATGCGTCGTATTCAATATTGACAAGTGTGTTGTTTCAACCGTCGGTGAATATATTATTATTTTGTTCCTCGTTACCTGAAAACACGATCAGATCAATAAATTTGTGCGGTTCTATTTTACTTGATTTGGTATATAAGCTGCAAATCGTAGAAACTGGAACCTTGATAAATAAATCGAACTTAACCGATAAAAATATTGCATCAGAAAAAATGACAATTTCTAATTCACTGTCATACATTCAGTGTTCCTTTTCAAAAAAAAAAAGAAAAAAAGGGGACTCGGTCCCCCCAAATCAAATACTGTAATTAACTATTACTTAACGAGAAGCGACTTTTTTTAATCATATATTAACAACAAAAAGAAACAAACTAAAAATTTGGATTTTACAACATCGATGAGATTTTGATTGTATACAATTCTGAAATAATTGAACCAATGGTTCCAGTTCCATGTTTTTTAAAAGGTTACGGTTTTTTCGATTTATTTAAAGTCTAGAGCAGTGGTTCTCAACCTTTTTTTGTTGATGGCACACTATTATACATCACAAGTTTTCACACTCACAAGCTTGACAACCACAGCAACTTTGCGGTAGGCAATGGTTATCCACGCTCCTTTACATGTATGACATTTCTAGCTTCACACCTAGTCGATCTCCTGCCAAGACACACTGGTTGAGAACCACTGGTCTAGAGTGCGAGACAAACGCTAAATGTTTGTCTTTAGAGGAAGTTTCATCCTGTTCATACAGTGAAACATAGCTAGACGGCAAATTGGTGTTTCTACTTTTTACAAATTTTACGTGACCTGTTATACTTGTTATATATGTATTAAATATTATATATGTACATAATATGAAGGTAGCTGCTAATTGCTATAAAATATGGGTATAGGTATAAGGCATCTACTTTTCTATAATATATAATTATATATTATATATTTTTATATTACTATTTATAATTATATATATATATTAATTAAAATCCTATGCAGTTAAATTATTTTATGTAACGAGACCCCCATACAATACCAACTTAATATGTATGAGATATATTTTTTCACATACAATGTATATTGTATACATATAATTGTTACTGAAAACAGTCGAAACAATTACGTCAAAACATGTCAAATTATGCTAGTGTTGGGTAGGCAGGTACTTAATATAAATCTTTAAATAGGTACCTGCATAATTTATTATGCGATGTTCATATTATTTACCATGATAATTATTAATAATAAATTAAGTGGCCATATAATATGTATGTAGTATAAGTTGTAGATAAAATATTCTTTAAAATAAAAAAAAATTGTAGTTGTATTCTACAGGCCATAGGGTAACTAGGCAGGTGCCTAAAACATGCTCATACCATCTTGTGTTCACGTTATTTATTAATGTTATTAAATGTTTATGATTAACAGTAAATAGATAGGTATAGTAATTTAGTAAACTGTAGTACAGCCGTACAGGAGTTCCCAAACTTTTCACGGAACGATCCATTTAGGAAAATATTTAAATATTGGCGATCCACAGACCGCAACTATACTAGTAAGATTTTTTTTTTTGATTTCATTGTTCATTAGCATTTTTATGATAATTTTCGTTTGCTGAGTTGAGATGACACGTATGATTTATGAGTGATAATACATAACAATATATAACTTCTATTTGTATAAATACATACGATTATAATATAAATATATTTTATAGAAATCCAATACCTATTGAATATTTTATATTACAAAAAAATATATTAATATTTCAAAATTTAGAAGGTAAAAAGGTTTTTCGTCAGTTTGGAACCTTTGAAGTAATACATTTTATTTATATTATACAGATATAGGTACAAATATATTTTAACCATAATGTATTAATTATATTCTTAACCTTGCCAATTTTTTTTTTATCTATCTCAATTTTATTTCAATCTTTTGTTTATTTGTATTTTGTATATATTTGTTTTGGTTTTTTTTAGATACATATTAAGAATATAGTTATGTAAGAGTTCAAACATTACATTTTGTAATTTGTCTAACTCAAAAATCTATCAAATATTAAATAGGTTAGGATGTACTCTTGTCTAGAAAAAAAAATGTTAATTTTAAGTTTTAACTACCTAATTGAGAGTGTTCACTCTGTACCAGAGTACGGATTTGTATGCAATTGTATTTTTCTTGTTAATCATATGATTTGATAAGTAAGTACAACATTTGTTTCACATCATAGATATTCAGTACCCACGGTTAGGGGGGTGGAAAACAGGGCAAGTGCCTTAGATTTTTGTGGTGTCAAATTAAAAGATACACTTTTGATTCTGAGTGGAGCGATGATTGTATTGATTTTACAATGTGTTTTTTTGGTTTGACTGTGTGTACTGTGTACAACAAGTAGTTGAAATAATGTTTCGATTATCAACTCCAGTAACTTTTCTGGTGGGAAAGTAGGTGCATTCGAGAGGATAACATTTAAAATTTTCAAAAGTATCAGGAAAAACAAAAAAAAAAAAATTAAAGAATAAGGATGTTTTTTTAAGCAAAACTAGTTTTCAAAAAAATTGATATTATTTTCTGATATAATCCTAAAAAAAACCATAGATTCATAAAATCTTTATTGATACTTTACAGCAGTGCAGTAACCTACTTCCCCCTTTTTTATGGACAAGACTCTCTGTCTATGCTCTTTATCTGAATTTTGATTATTATTACTGCTGACCTGTCTTCCCTCAGAATTGTTTATCTTAGCCATTGATTTTATATCGTTGAATTTGATTTTAACACATCCATTACAGTGGCTTCTCTAAAAATCTTATGTGTAGCAGAGCACCCGCTTTTTAATTTTTTTTAAATATTATGAATTTGATGTTATTATTTTACTTTTTTAGGTCATTTTTGTATTTGAAGGAGAATTTTTCACTATTTTTCGTAAATTTATAGATATACCACTAGTATTTTCTACATGGAAAGATCGATCATTTTTTACTAACAATAATGTATTGGCAATTAATAAACAATTTTTTTTTAATTTGAAAAACTCAAACAAACATTAATATTGCAGTACAATAATTCTTCAAAATGTGAAAATCCTTCAAATATTTATTTAAATTAGGT